GAGCACTTCAATTAAAGAGTGCACCATGAATAATGTACTGGAGAACAAATTGCACAAAATATTTTTTAAAATAATTAGCTTGGGAACAGTGATATAAAGTTTTTTCTATGGTTTTTGTGGAAGACTATGGCTAATTTTCCAGGACATCTATAGTGGGATTGCTAACAGGTAAAATATTGAACTTGCTTTTTTCTACTGTTAATGTACATAAAAGCCAATTGATGTATGTATTCCTATTTTAGCTTTAGATTTGAAAGCTCAGAATTTTGTGACAATAGGGCTCTCAAAACTTAGCATTGACTTTGAGGGTGGTTGGTATAAACAAGTTAAATTTTCACCTGAGATTAATTTCCTTATATGGTAAAAATGAAGAAACTTACAAATGCAATCAAGGTAAATAGTTTTATACTTGTAAGTCTGTCTGCTTTCTGATAATTATATAATATAGGATGGAAAGCAGACAGTAGTTCATCTAATTAAGAATTGGATTGCATACAAAATTTATCGACATGGTTCTGCTACGTGTATCATGACTGTTACTTTGCTTAATGGTACTGTTTTTAAGGTTCAGGCTTCTTTGTAGAGGTTCTCTATCTGTCTTTCTTCCTTGCTTGCTTGCTGGCTGGCTTGCTTGCATGCTTGCTTGCTTCCTTTGAATTTCTTCTGCTAGGTTTCATCTTTAAAGTTTCATTTGTGCTATGAGAGGATCAATATTTTTATTTTAGTTATTCACTGATGTTAGACTCACTGGCAGTAGGTCTTTGGGACTAACCTTGGTCTAAAAAGCACACTATATACTCCTAGTCTGAGTTGTATGCATGTTGGTGCTGAGGACTTCCCTGAGCACATTTCAGAGTTCAGCACTAGTACTGCTTTGCCGCCACACCTCAAGTGTGTTTATTCCATGCTCCTTTCCCATTCACGCATTTAGTCTTTATCATTGCCCCAAGGATGGCAGCATAGTTACCTTTCCCTCAAAATTTAAGGCTTTCAGTTTCCGTGTATTTTAATAAATTGTTAATGTAAGCTCTGAAAGGAACAATAAATAAGAATAAAAATGATCCTGCCACTCTGAAAGTGATAGAATGTCTCCTAGTGATATGGATCACTGGGATTGCTCTACTTTAATGTGATTTATTTGTTATTCCTTATGACCAACTGTTATGCTGAAGGGGATTCTTTACATGTGTTCTACCTGACATCCTGCTTTTTCTCTTGAACATAATTCTAAGAACTGTCACCTCTTTAAATGACATTCTCTTTAATAGGTATTATCTTTATTCTAAATCCAGATATGCCATGTAACTCAGCAATGAGCTCTCCATATATACTTGATTTTGATAAATTATCTGCATTGTTTCATCAGCTTTTGCTCAAGCAACACCTCTCCCATATTTAGAGAAAAGAACTGATAGATTTTTGTTTCAAAATCATATTTACCTTAGTCTTGAATATATAATGGAGAAAATGCATTCTCCTGTGAATTCTGATCTTAGAATTTCTGGGCAATGAAAATACTTCTCCATAGCAGCCTATAGCAATAAACTAAATCATACTACTGTTTTAGGTTTTATCTTAGAAGGACCTTCATTGACATGCAATGGAATGAAATGAGTAACACAAGAAAATCAGTGATAACTTAAAGCTTTAGATGATTGACAATAAAGCCATATGCTTGCTTGGTTTTTTTTTTTTTTTTTTTTTTGATCCCAATAAAAATATAGAGGAAGGACCTCCTTTTTAATTTTGAAAAATTCAACTTAGGGACATTATTTGCAACTGTCTAGTTGGTTGAAAACTGTATCATTATTATAGTACTTTTCTAAAACTTATAATTAAGAGGCACTGACATATACTCGGCATGTGTCAGCTTCTGAGTTAGGTGATGGCTTCCATAAAACTAAATGAAATCCCTGCATTCCTTGGTCAGTGTGTGTTGAGACAGATAGTTATTTATGACAACCAGTCATCTGAGAGTAATGACCAGGGAGGAAATGGAGACATTGACAGACTTCCTAACATACCAAGTAGCTTCTGGCACAGCTTCCTGTCCTATTTGCTGGACAAATGAGTTATTAAAATGTTGTTCTTTATTTTTTCTCTAGTTTTATTTCTGCATAAATAATGTAATTTCTTGCACAATTTTTCTTTAAAGTATATTCTTCAGACTGGAAGGGCTTGGGGTTAGTGAGCACTTGAAGAGAGTATTAAATAATGGTATTTATATTTCTTTTAATTAAAATAACTTCTTTTCCTTGACTATATTTTAGATGCTGGAAAGTACCTGCATATTTAAACTCCCTTACAATTTTATTGCTTTGTTGTCTTTTCATTTATCTGTCCCTTCGTTTACTTGCAAAAGTCAAATAGTATTTTATTTTATTTATTTGCTATTTTAAAATAGTTTGTTGTTTTAACATTTGTAGAGCATAAATATAAATGCTATTTGATTTATATCCATTAGGAAATATACAATTAAACAAATATGTACAGATGCCTCCATTTTATTATCATGTCTCCAGATACCTTATTTTCATATCAGAGGTTATTGCCACCTTTATGGTTCAGTAAGTGACTTTAGCTTTATTGGGAATTTCAATAAGGACATCAAGGGAACAGCTAGACATGCTTGAAACCATTGCTCTATTCATCTCAGAGTAAGAGCCCATCCATCATAGAGGCTTGTCCTACCTGATCTGAAATATACCTTGTCTTGAGAATTCCAGATTGGCCTGATAGTTTGTCTGAGTCACTCGACATTCTTACACAAATCTGTGAAAACTATTCAAGCTTCTCTTTAAGCAGAGTTTTCAAGTCATAATTTCATCTCTAAGTTTCCTCGATTTCTTACTTTGTAATCTCGGAGATAAACACAGTGACAGAAAAAAAATATATATATATCTATATATATATATTCCCAGAAAAAGTCCAAATTACACACTTAAACATATGCTACACTTTATTTGTCAATTAGTTACTAGGTTGTACGATTTAATAAAATCTGCATTTTTTTTTCCACACAGACTTTTCCATGAGGCATGCTCCAGTATAAAATTGGAACAAACCTATGGTGAATAGATACACAGATTATTTGAGGTAAAACAAAGGTACTGTGTAAATTATATGGAGTTATCACAACCACAGAATCTCAAGTTGTCTTCTGTCTGAAAAATTAGATATAATATTATTAAAACTACAAAGTACTAGGGGCCGTGGAGATGGCTCAGTGGAATAAGCATTTCCCTGGGAAGCATAAGGACCTGAGTTCAATCCCTGGTTCTGCCAAAAAAATAAAAAATAAAAAAAAAAATACTAAACGAAGTGTATTTGTTTTTGTTTAAGTAAATGCAATTTAAACCAGATTATTTAGTAGCAGAGAAATGAAAGAAAAAGACAAAAGCAATGTTTCTTTGCATAAATTAATGTTTATACATGGTTCTATTCATCATGTTGTAGCTAAAGCTATCAGAATATCACTTTATTTTGTACCATGAAATTTGAAGCTAACTCCTCTTCTAGCCAGAACAATTATAGTAACATGCCATATGTAATCAGTGCCTCAGGATAGCTGAGAGAGACTTAGATGCATTAGAAGAAACCCCACTAGATAAAATGTGACTGTGTTTCAAACAGAGGAAACTTCCACTGATAATTTCAATGTTGTAAAATATCTCCAGTTGTTTTTCAATGAGCTAAAATATAAATTAACTGATATGCATTTAATGAATATAAAGTGACTTGATAGTGAATATGAAGGTGCTTTATAATAAATGAGGTAGCACACACCCCACTGTGTGTTCATTCATTCATAAACGTTTACAGATTTCTCAAGAAGGTCAAATTTCAGGTTTGCTGTCAGTACTTTATAAAACTTTATCCAGTTTTGAGAAACATTTCATGAAACAAGATCTATTTATTCATTAATTTTGAAAGTAAGGAATATGATCCTTTTTTAAAGTATTTAGTACAGGGTCTATGAGGTCTCACTACACAGATTGGACTCAAAGTGATCCTCCTGTCTTTCAGGTTCCCAAGTGCTGGGATTACAGGGGCACACCACCACACTCAGTCTCATTAGCAGTCTAAGTGTGCCAAGGGGCAGGGCCTGCAAGGGAGTAGAGGGATCGAACCCCGAGTGTCTGCCTAAGAAGATTCCTTAATCCTCTGAGTTATCTGTCTGGCCCAGGCATTCGATTTTTATACACAGTTTTCTTGTCATCACTTTTTGGAAGCCTGATTTTTATGTTTTTCATGTAAAATTATTAAAAAAGAATGTGCTCTAAAGTACACACATTGATATATGGTTGGTTTCAACTCTACAGATTTTTAAAATAATTTCATTGAGAAACAAGCAGCAATGAGACAGTTTTAAAACTGATGAGTAGGAATTTCAATAAATAAAACATTGCATATTATTGACTTCTTAGTAGTTATTCATACTTCAAGATGCAGACATGATATCCTGTCAATGAACATTATTAGTAGAAATCTTTGTATTCATTGAATTAAGAAAAAGTAGCTGTATACCACGCTAATTAATTTGAATGTCTCTTTAAGTTTTCCTGAATATCTGTATAGATACAAAATGTTCCTTCATTTGCACACCTCTTTCTGTTTAGATATGTCAGAGATGAGTATTTCATTGCCATTTAAATATTGTAGGTGCATGAATTCAGCAAAATATTCCAATATAGTTTAGTAGTCCATAATAATAGTGGGCTACCTGTAGCACTGGCAATGTTAGAAGTTGTTGACTTAAGCTTTTTACAGCTCAGCCAATTAATATGGCTTTACTTTTTTTTTTTAAGCTGTAATATTTTAATTTACAATTTTTTTTTTAAGAAAAAGGTATTTTCTTTGCAGAGGGCCCACTCTGTTGTGCAGGCTGAATTTGAACTAACCAAGCTGACCCCTTCAGCTTGTCATCCTTCCACCTCAGCCCCCCAAGAGCCAGGATGACAGGCCTGTGCCACTGTGCCCGGTTAAAGAATATACATGTTTTACTTTTTCTCCTTTTTCTCTTCTTTCTTCACATCACTCTTCTCCTTCTCTTTCTTCTTCTCTTTGTCATCTTTCCTATCCTTTTTTCACTCTTCTTTCTCCTGCCCCTCTTCTCTGCATCCCGGTTGGCGATCTTGTTATTGATGAAGTTGTGTAGGGCGATCACAGAGCGGATCAGTGAGGCCAAGTACACCACCACCATTTGGTCATTGGTCTTCAGGTAGAAGGCCTTGACAAACTCCTGCAGGCTGACATCAGGCAGTAGGTTGAAGACGTCCTGCAGCTGGTAGATGATCTGGTGGTTGATAGGCTGCTTGCCTGTGGCTACTTTCTCCAGGTAGCTCCGGATATCCAGCAGCTTGGAGTTCAGTCCCTTCAGACCGTGGACCTGGTTCGTGATCCGCTGGGACAGAGTGCCCACTGTAGTGTCTTTGATGTCTGCAACCTCCTCAGCCTCCTCTGCTCGGATCTCACTGGTCACGTGTTCAAACGCTTTCGAGGTTGGAGTCCCATCATCGTGAACTTCCTCCACAGAGATGTATGCTTCTGTGGGCAAGCCCAGGTCCTTGGGCTTCACATCAATGATGACCAGCACTGAGTTTGGGCAGTATCTTTTCATGAGCTCATTAATGGCGATGTCATTCTTATGTAGTTTAGGGCCTGTGTGGTACCACCCAACTATTCTTTCTCTAGCATTGACTTTCTTAAACATTCCATACATGTTTTCCAAATAATCATGGTCTAAGAACCAGTCAGAGTCATCTTTGTCATCTTCATCAAAAGGGATTGCAAAACTGTCGGATACGTCAAGTACCTTCTTTTGCCACGACCCCAAAAGCACACCAACAACACGCTTCTGCTTTCCAACCTTGCCGATTATTTTACAGTTGTCAACCAGATTCTTACAAAGGACCAGGGTTGACAGCACTGCCCACGCAGGAAACCATTCGGAGTGCCAAGCGCAGTATTTTGGAATATCAGCACGTGTTTCAGAATTTCTGAATATGGGTATTTCAGAATATCCACTAGCGGTATTTCAGGAGGGCGCGGCCTTGGTATCCCGCAGTACGGCCTCTCGGCTGGCGTAGTGGCGGCCACCGTCAGAGG